ATTTGTATATTTAATTTTAGTAAAACATCCTTGTTTACTTCTTGATAAAGTTCAATTTTACATTGAATATGTATAGTTTAAGGTATTAGGATAATTAATTCAACAAAATTTTTATCGTCTCCATTGACAGAAATCATGATAGAGTATGAGTAACTTATGTGTGTTTGTCACTGTATGTGTACAAAGTCGCAAGTATGTAACAAAATGTATTGCGTATGTATATTTTTATATAGATATTTTTCTAGCTTTAGCTTTGTTCGATTTTCAGTTGAATATGAGTAGATAATTTGGTATAGTAATTTTGGTTATTCCATACGGGAATAGAGATAAGTAAATAGATTAACTTAATCTCAAAAGAGGTCAATTGCTCACCCTTGATATTGAATGATGATCGCGCCGAGTTGAAGGCGTTCAGTTAAGTGAATTATTAGGTTTTAGACAAGTGACTAAGATATTTTTAAAGCTAGTCGCAAAAGTACTGAATATGTTCGATAGTTAATTTATAGTTCTCCATCTAATGATAAATCAGTAAAAACAATCTTGTTCATTCATAAGGTTGTTTTAGTCTTAAATACATAGTTGCCCAGTATAAACATATCAGTTAGACTAATTGTTGAAATGAATTGGTTAAAAGTAGCACGCTAGATTCAGATAACTTGTTCTCCGGTAAGTTTAATAACATTATTAAAAGTGGAATCCAACTAAGTGTTTTGTAAGTGTATCTCCTTCACCATAAATTTTTCTAATCTATTTTGCATAAAGTTCTAGTTTAAAGTATTCTAGAATGATCACGGACACTCGCTGTTTAGGGTGATTGACTATATTAACTATAGATTGATTCCACTACTATGTAAATTAATAAGATGCTTAACAATCAAGGCCAATTCCGTCTTATAGCTTCACTGATCATTGTCACTTAAATGATCAAAATGTTAAATAACCTTGTTAATCGTTGTCTTTCTTTAAGTAAGTTGACATTTTCTGCAGACTCGAAAACTGTATTCCCAAGTTAGACACATAATTATCTATTTCATACGTACTGTAAACATATATAGTCTCATATATTTGAGAATGTATCAGTTTTATCTCTAGCATCAACCTTTTATCTGTGTGTCATTTTTATCACCCAACATAGTGTAGATCCACTTTTCTAAACAAATCAAAAAGTTAATTGCCCTTATAAAACAAAATTTTAATTATTTCAGTTTAAGTATGATGGCTGTGATTGGTTCTATCAAATGACCTTAATCAGTTCGTAATTATGAACCACATCACATCTTAATATTTTACTCGACAATGGAATTAGAGAGAATATTTTTGAAGAGATGTTTTATCAAACATAAACCTGAAGGTAATCAGTTAGATGTATACTATTTTTTAGTTATCATAAATTTTATTACTGTTACGTCAATTAGCTTATAGTTATTGTAATAAGAAAGCCCACTTGCTCCTAATCATCAAAAGTTCTGTTCATTACGTCAATGTTCATTTAAACCATAAATCTCCGTATTCATCCGTCTTCGTTTCCATGATTAAGCATTTCCCCACTGTTCGATTAACAGGATATTATTGTTGTCCTGGATTATACAATAACATCTTCGGTTTAGTTTAGATTACTGCAACTGATATTTAGATAGTTTGAAGACAAATTTATTACCAGACATAATATAATTTATACCCCGTCGGATTTACGAGTTTTTTTAATTCGTGTGCTAAGTTTTTCCTCGACAAGTTATAAAATTCAATATTCTGAATAAATTTGAATTAATACTCGTTCAGAAACTTCCTCATCTTCAGATAGGAGTCATATTTATGAGCCCCTCTACAATAAATCACTTCGAGATCGACTATTTGGTAGATACACATTACGATCGTTATGAAGTTAAGAAGACTTCAGCTATTTTGTGGAAAGATATGCTGTTTACTGATACATTTATGTCCCCTAGTCTCTTTTTAAGCAAAAAGCAATGCACACGGCTTATCATCTCGCTTCAGTTTCTACTGTTACACCTATTTGTAAATCTAGTAAATGATTATTGTTATTATTCAACAAAGTTCTTAGTAATCACTATGCTATGGTTTTTGCTATATATGAAATGATTACATCTGCGCACCAACCCCATCGTTAAAGCCGTTATACATACACTCGAACTGCTTCTTAAATCGCGTTATCAAGGATAAGTGCGAGCTCAAGATGTTCATTTGTCTCTCGCTATGTCAGAACATCACGGAGTAAGTCGGTATATGTAACCCGTTAATCCACAACTACTTTTCCGATGATAATAAATTACTGTTCTCAAACGTTGTGCGAACATTTATTACTTATTCTAGTAATAATTTCGAAATATCGTTACTCCATACTTCGCAAAGCCAGTTTTTATGTGGTCTAGTTACGTGATATCCTACCAGGTACTACGCTTTCTTGATAAAGGAACACTATTTCATTAAATACGAAACCAGCCTAATATACTATGTATGTGATATTACATGACTTCATTTTTGATAATCCTCTTGCTCATATGATGTAGTTATTTTCCTTATTACTGATAAGAACTGTTTCGAGTAACAAACATCGTTTGAATAAGATAACATTTGATTGTATCATTGATTTCACTCTAGTGACAGCCCGTAAGGAGATTCGTCTAAAAACCAAACCTGGAAATCAGTCAGCCAAGGTTCAGTATACTTTAGAAATAAGACCTCCACTGATTCACTTAAATGATCCCAAGGAATTTTATTTGGATGTTATTGGATCCCAAAATAAATGGTCTGCAAAGTTCAAGTTCACTGAAAATCTTGCTGATTTACAATCATCTGTCGGAAAGGTTTGGGCTGTTTATTAGATATTAAAAACGTACTTCCTTTTAAAAAGGACTTTACATCAGTAGACTGTCCCCATCGATTGTCTTGACATATCTCGGTAGAAATTCTATTTTATGTTTAGTAATCAACGTACTTTTCTGCCAGACTTCACTACTACACATCAAAACAGCTGTTAATTTCAACAGTTGATATCGTGCTTGATGGATTTCAAATATGTCGATGTTAGGTTGAAAACCCAATATAGTATTAAAATACTGTGAACGTCCGTACGTAAAGATGAATAGGCAAACCAGCAGAGAAATCTATGCGACAGCGATAAGATCCTAGTCTTATCTGGTGGACACACGGGCCATAGTTCGGAATAATAATATATTCACAGTCCAGCTGCCCAGATCGTTGTTAGAACTTTTCATTTCTTACAACTCAATTGACATGAATCTTACTAACTTTCGGACTGAAATATGGATCTGCAGATCATAGTGATTTTAGTCATCAATATTATATGGTTGTATGTTGCTATTTTACCTTAGTCTTCCGCTTAATGACTCCCAAACTGACTCAAGTTTTATTTGAAGCTAAAAAAAAGTCTGAATCCATTAAACTCCGAGAGAGAAGTCAAAGAACGTGCGATGGGCTTCTCCCTCAACGTGCAAAAGGCTAACTTACTATTCTTCATCAGCAACTAGTTTTACTAAATGAAACGATGCAATCCTAAGAACTAATTCTTTCGGGTTAATAACTAATGAGATTTTAGTAACTTTGGAAAAGCTTTGCTCAGTTTGAGTCACCGATTATGAATTCAATATATCCCTTCATCTATTAACAGAAGTGCGCACTATGAAGCAGTTTCGTCCGTATTATTTTCTAATACCTTAAATATAATGCTCATAATTTGAACTAATCACAAAGAGATGTGCTTAGTATAATATATTCAATGTCATCAGCTGAGAACTGGCTAGATTTACAATGAATAACACAATATAATTCGGAAATCCTACCCATTATCTAAATGTCAAGCGTTCAAGATTTGTGGATTGACCCTATTTCCGTCATTTAACATGCAGTAAAACAAACAGACTCATTCAGAGAGACTAATTACACCATACCTAATTCCTCATTTCGTTTGAGCCATGAAGCACCAAACTACAAGCGACAACTGGTTATGACTAATATAAATACTTGTGCTAATTCTGTAGCAGTAACTACTTCGATAGTGAAATTTCCATGCCTCAAGTCATAAAGATTACTAACTAATCATAATACATGCATATATGGGTAGCGTTCTATTCTAGTTTATGTTGTTAAAACGAGGATGACTTCACCACCATGTACTTATTGATTATGAATACCAACAGGAAAACATGAAAGCTACAGTTCTTGCTCTGGTCATACGGTGTAAAATATACTAAACCTCTATATCTGGTTAGTAACTACAAAGCACAAAATTATAAATAGACATCCGTTGAAAACCAAAGATGAACGAAACATACGATACTATTAGACAGCCACCTTGTCACAGGTGCAATTTCTTCATGAGTGCTTACGGGAGTTTAATTGAAAGCGCACAATAAAAGTACAAATAATATGCGCCACACAAGAAAATAAAATTCAGGGGATAAAGGGTGATTATTATAAATAAAAGGAGGAACAGTTCAGCAAAAACAGCCAGTTTTTAATCGAAGTCACTCAAGCTTGTACCGCCACCGACTTCTATTCCAGCAGAAACTAGTCCGACGTATCTTTCCTTAATACCACTGCCCCCTTCTATAAACTGACGACCTTCCTATATTTTTCGGAGGTAATGTGAGACTGAATGCATGTATCATTTAATGATTTACTAGCCAATATTTAATCAGTAATGTCATTTATTAGTGCTATTTTGATAAATCACCAAAAATATTTCAGATTGAGCGAGGAAACGTTGGGAAGATTCAGTACTTGAGGATCTCACCTTGTGGAAACAACACCGAGTCTAGATACGTTATGGATAGTGTATGTTTTGTCTCTTTAAATACTATAAACATATCTTTTATTACTTCTAGCTGAAAGTGACTCAAAATTTAGAGGCAATGGAAATCTATCATTTGTTGAAAAGCCCACAATTCTATAAATTATTACCGTCTGAGTTGAAGAACTGTTCGCTACACGTAAATCCGAACATAAAAACAACGCTCTCCTTAACATCTTAGGACTATTCACTAATAACACATTACAACTGTGAAGATTTAGAAAAAAGAAAATTTAATGTGTCTCTACCACTAGCTTATAAATACATTTTTGAGAAGTCGGCTTACGGCGACTTCAAAGCACCTTCAACATACTCGCTCGAATTTTCAGATATAACTGTCGGTTTATAGCGTAAAGAAACTGGACGTTCGGGCGGTGTCTAGAATCTACAACTATTGTTACAAGCTTTTCGTATCGATCCTTGTGAAAATAACACCGCTGAACAATTAATATTCTGTATCCAAATGCTTTACCTCACATACTTGACAGAAACATATTGAATACTGCTTGCAAATATTAGCTTCTTGAAGATAACTTGATTCTGAAACTGGTAGAGTATTATGATAATTTAAGTAAATATATATTATTTCAGGTTCTTCACTCGTTTTCTAAAAAATAAATCACTGAATAACGTCAACATTTCTAATAGTTGTAGTCTTGTTAGTTGTTAGAATAACAGTGAATCATCGATCAAGTGTGACAGAAACGAGCTGCGTATTGTTTTGACGTAACCTTTTCCTAACCACCAAGGGAGGTGTTCACAAAATCGTTCAGTTGCCTGGTAGTGCGCCCAATATAGCTTTCTCCACAGGAGCAGCTGAATTCGTAGATACACATAGAAGTGGCATAACCAGGTAACTTATCCTTCAATCACCATCGATCGGGTTGAATAGAATAGGCAGAGGTTGGCAGCATCAAACATTCTCTTTACTGCTCTAGTCAATCTATCCCGTGATACATCGCTAGGTAAATCACCATTGATTCGCAATTTCAAGAAAAGCGGTTTCTTATTAGCCGTCAGTCACTACTTTCTTGTTTTGTACCCGCAAGTGTTTCTTCAAGAAACCCAGTGGATATCCCAATTCAATCAAAATATTATGAATGTGTTGTAATTCCCTATCAGTTGTGTTTACTGGACATATCTTAAGAGCTCTATTTGCAAGACATTTCACCAAGTTTCTCTTATAATGAAGAGGCACAAAGCTTAAAAAATGTATGTTTTGGGTTGGAGAATTTGGTCATGACAATATCAGCATACACTTAACCAGTTGTAAACAAACATAACCTAACACATTGGTTAGGTTAATCATCGCAGCGAACAATACATAACATGAAGCAATAGACACAACTTCAATCTTGATGAAATTGGTGGAAACAAATGAGATTCTAAATAAACAATCAGGAGTTAGATGAATCAATCAATACTATTTCACGTTGATGTACTGGTGGTAAGATTATTTTTTATAGAACATACTAACATTTAAATGACAAGATATACCCCCACAGCACCGGTACGCATCTTTTATGTTGGAAGATGCAGACTACTTGGTTGGGGTCCGCGTGACTCGTAACCAATGGTTGGAGACTCTTGGTGACATGGCTCAGAATCGATCACAATGGCGTCGGTGTATACACTCTCTGTCTTCCCTTAAACTAAGAGATTAAAATCGCTTCATACCTTTTTTCTACGAACCAATTCTTTCTTCTTGTACTATATCTCTATATGCTATCTTTCTCTTATTACTACCTTTGACCTAAACATTGCTATGAATCCGGTGTTCATCTTGTTGTGCTGACGCGGTATGGCAACCTGGACCGATGCACATATGTGCCTGGTCCTACGTTGTAGCTGACTGACTTTTATAAATAACAAGTGATAGTACTCAAATACAGGCAGACTAACGCAAAATATATTCGACTATGCATTTTAAACGGGTAGTAACTTAATGCACTAGAACGTTAAATTCAGGTACCGGGCACATCAGTAGATGAAGAAAAGATGTCACTAAACAATAAAACCGTGTCAACATGTTATTCGTAATTAACAATCTATATCCAAAAACGAAAATATATTATGAAAAATACTAAGCTCTAGGTCTTTCCTTCTTATGTGTGTACAAAGCCTTAAGTGATACACCTGCAACCTTAACAATCTTGAACCTTACACCAGGTATATCGCCGACTGCGTGCCCCTTTCGCCCGAAACCAGACACAAGCACTTCATCATTTTCCTCAATGAAATTTAAACACCCATCATTAGGTACGAAAGCAGTGATTTTCTTCCCATTCTTTAAGAGCTGAACCCTTACACATTTACGGATGGCAGAATTTGGTTGTTTAGCTTCAACACCAACCTAAGATACAATGTCTTGAACAATGTGACTTACCTTCTCTAGCACAACACCCTTAGCGTGTGAGGCACCCTTGAAAGGATTAGCTTTCCACTTCGTTCCAATATGAGCTTTTTTGTATGCTTTATCCGACCATTTCTGGGTTCGGCGATGGTTTCGAAGTTTGCGAGCAGTCCTCAGACCAGACGGTTTGCCTGCGGGCATTTTGAATTCCCACCTGTAATTAGCGAGGTCGGTGGACCGCTAGCATGAAAAAATTAAAACAATGTTTAATAACTACTATTCTTTGATAATTGCCTAATAATGGTTATGCAGTTTCTTGATGTAGCAATTCACGTCTAGCCGGAAGACACTTTATATGACTGAGGGGCATGTAGAGTAGCATGGGTAGGACCGGAAAAGATAATTAAAAAAGTAAGTTGAAGTCTCGGCTAATGCACTCACTTATCAGGGACGGTAATAGACAACAATCAACAGCGCAAGCTTTATGATAGGGTATTCTTGAAATCGAGTTTATAAGCAGATAGCTTAACCCCACTACATTCATAGCATTTAAAGCGTTTAATAATAGAATTAGACTATTTTAAAACTAGGCCTAATATTTTTAGGAGGGTCAGCATTGTTCTTCATCAAGGATTTTAAGCACTTTTCCGACCATCCCTGTTGGGCTATTTATATCGGCGACTAAGTACTTGTGTGTGAATGACATTTTGAAAGAGTTGGTTATGTCTTTTGCTTTGCGTCCATCTTCCAACATATGAGACACGCTCGACTTGTCAACAGTAAAGATAGAACATAGGAAACTTTGAGTCTGTAGCGGTAAGTAAATCTACAAATTAAATAGGTCAGTAAGTCTTTGAGATTTGGTGCTGACCTCACTAGGTTTGATGGGCACACCTGGCTGAACGCGCTCGGCCACGCATCCGCACCATATCATGAGTTAGTACACCATGCCACTCATTTCCTTCAACCGTTAGTCAGCATAGGTTAAACGCTTCTAAGTATATCAATTGCCTTTCGAGAATATTTTTAGGCCTCATCACTTCTGACTTCTAATTTGATTGGGTTGGCATACTCTGAATATTATGTTTTTCTAGGTACGTGATTCAACCTCTTCCAGACTTTCTCTACCAAGTGTGATTCAGTTGGTGTTCTCAATGTTGTATTTGAGATGTAGTGTCGGTTAATATATTAAGCCCATATATCCTATTCTAGCTTTCGGACATGCCGACCTATTCATTCTATATGAGTCACATTTTGACCTTGTTAATTATTCACCTACCAACCTTGACTGTTTTTAAATGAGTGTATGTGTACGATTCTTATTCCATTCATCACACATCTGTAACTTATTTTTGTGTGAATATAACTATTGATTAACGCTCGTTTAAATGGAGTTGGCTACATGCCTTCTCCACTGAGCGTCATTTCGCTTCGCTCTTTTTTCTTCACTTCTCCGATATTTCGTCTGGATCAAAGATTGTATGAAATATACGTATTCAAAATTCATTTTCGTATTTGACTTATTTAGTTCTGCTATTGACTGACGCGATTTAAGTCGATGATTATATACCAGGATAGACGACATATATATTTCAATAACAATCATTCGCATGATCTACTTGAAGTCAGATCCTGGGATACTAAAGAGGATCTTGCTTTTTACCTTGTGTATGTTAGACCTACTGGTTCATAGGCTGCTGATACACTGATTGTCTTCACCTGCATCTGTTGATAGATGTGGGACAGAAAAGTTAGGTTATCTAAAAAGTCCGAATAGTCTAGGTGCATCAAAGCTCTTCATGACCCATTCAACCACCAGAAGAAAGAGAAAGAAGAGTAAGCGGTTTCGTTTGACTCCGGTCTTCGCTTGGAATGAGTCTGTCAGCTGTTCTCTATATACGACTTTTCAGTGTAGTTCATCATATGAATTCTGGATAATGTTGACGATCTTCTCAAGCTACTCACTTCATATTGTCTCAGAAGGCTTCATAAAATCCTTCTATATACACTAAGAACTGAATTCTTATGGTCAAGGGAGTTGATGTATGATGACGAATTCCGTTCAGTTGTTTGTTTAATGATTATCTCTAGTGACGCGATTTACTGGCACAGTCAGGCCGCTACGCCAATACGGCAAGTGAAATACGGAATTATCGCCTCTTGTTAGGCCGTTCAGGGTCGTTGAAACGAAACAGTGGGGAGCTTCGGAAGAGTCTGACATTTTTCCCGTACCAAAATTCATCCTGAAAAAAGCGAAGAGTCTTTAATGTCTCTCCCGTGTCTTATTCCAGTGCTTCAGCTGGTATATTGTCAGGTTTTACTGTTTTTCCGCTATTCATTTGTCTGATGGCCATCCCGATTTCATGAATCGTTGGTGAAGTGACATCTACGGAAAGGTCTGTGTATGTTGCTTCAATATCCGGTGGATTCAATAGAGATGACCTAGTTCATAGTTCTTCAAAGTGTTTTACCACATGTTACTCTATTATTGAATCTCAGTGATTAACATACTTCGTTGTTCTTGACTGGTTCCTCTGACTTACTATATTTCACTACCAGTTTCTTCGTTGTGTGATACAGGTTTTTTCACAGTTTCTTGTCTTACAGCTTTTTCAGTTGCAGTGGTGTAGTAATTATAAGTATTTGAATTATAGTATGAGCTAAGAATCCCAGAAATAACCCAATTGAATCAAGAAGCGCTAGATAAGCACGAACGAATGTGTTGTATTTAGAATTCGAAATCAAGCATTCGACAGGTACAAAGGTATCATTAACTCATTCAAACACCACACGTGGCTGGCTACGTGACGTATTACTACTTGTTGTCTTTAATGCCCCACTTCACCCACTTGCTTGCTTCTGTGTATTCGGTCTACACTTTGGTTTTCTCTGCTCTTGTTCGACTGTTATTAATTGATGTGTTCTTGTTCTTCCTCTCATATATCTTTCAAACAATTTTGACAGAGATCCGCTTCTTCGAGTAGATCTTGTAAGGCTTATCTTGTGTTACACTTGAACTGTTCAAATTCATTGTATCTTCATCACGTTTATATGACACATACAAACTGATATTTGATTATCCTTTGCAATTAATTATGACTTTCAAAGCGTCATACCAAATTATTATTGCGCAAACTCTCGTTCTATTATCGCATCATACTGCATTAATGATTTATTTTCTCATCTCCCTATTTGTTTTTTTATTCATTTGTAATACATACATCACGTTTGTTCTTATTCTGTTTTCACGTACACACTTATTAAAATATCTGCAAATTCCAGGTTTCTTTCCTTCTTTTTTCCTTTTTCCTTCTTTAAATTCAGCTCAGTATTATTCCCACAGAACCTGATTATATATATGGCAAATATTATGCAAACCTCATTGAAACTTGTGTAGGACTGCATTTCTGAAGAAACTGTAAAATGTATTCTTTGCAACAATTATGTGCCAACAATTTGTTTGTGAATAATTATAACTTCCGCTTCAATGTCAACAAAATGGTGATCCTTTTGCCATCACGTAGGTGATTTACTACAAACGGCCTTGTCTAACAGATACGATTACTGTTATTGTATACCAGAGTGAGGAATTTTTCAGAGGTTTTTCGTTCCAGATAGTTGGAAGGTTGGGAAACTGTAAGGTTTCCTGCAATGTATAGGGGACTTACCATACTTATCGTGTTTTAGAGACAGATGCTCTTCGTGATAGGCTTGTTGGAGCGCCAGTGAGTATGATGAATATTAAAATAACTAATGAGAGTATGACAGAAATCCGCAATGTCATTTTGTGTTCTTTGAGAATTTTCTCTGACAGAACCAACCTCAATGCCGGATAATTTAGTGATCTTCCTAATTCTACTCGGAGATGCAGCCGGTTTGTCTGCGAAGTCATTTTGAAATGAAATAATAACCGCCTGAGCCTATCAGGAAAGCTTAGATAAGAAGAGCTGTCCTAAAAGGCTCTTATCAAAAGTCCGTTGAACAAAGACCTCTCGCATACGTAGCAACACAGGCGTTACTAGGCCACGCTTCAACTCCATGTTCTAGAAGAACTGTTTTAAACTTTGTCAGTCAGTAAGATCAACACGTTTTGTGATAGTCTTATCCAGAGTGGTGTAAAGTTCAGAAACATCCCTTGTAAACGAACAAGGTGTGACGTACTTGTCAGAATCGTGCAGCAGTGCTTCCCCTACTGCGAGGAATTGTACACGTTGGTCTGACACGCCGTGATCGTGGAATTCAGCTTCTGCGTAGCAGAACCAGGCCACTATATTGTCTGGTCAGAATGTCGTGAATTCGAACGTGGCAGGCGAATGAGTCATAATCTTGAGCAGTCTAGGTGCCACTTCTGTCATGGTGAAAATAAAATATGCATATATGTGAAGAAGTCCACAAATACAAAGTGTATACCAAAAATGTAAAATAAAAATATGATATATAACGTTACAACAAGAAGCAGATCTTTCGCGCCTTAAGGTAACCCTCGTGCTATTGATAGAAGAAACCAGAGAAGTAGTGAATAGGTCTTTATTTCGATCTTTGCGCAGTCACAGTGGAGCGTTGGATTATCTGTTCAGACAAACAAAGGCTCTCAACATTCAATATAAGATATTAGGGAATATAACGCTTATACAAAATAAGAAAGTGAATGAATACTTGAACAATACTGTTTTGGCATATGCTTGGTTGTTTGGGGTCAACTCTTAACCAACCAACCTAAGCTGTTACAGATCTACAGTTTATTGTTTAGCGTACCAGATCATGTCGGGCTTCGGAATTTATTTGCCTCTAAAATACAAGCAACTTAATTATATTGCTGCAACTATAACGAGAATGAAAATAAATATGTGTCACAAAATGTATATTAATTTTACATGTTTGTCGTTAACTGTGTAGCGGTAAATAAATCCCCAAAATAAATAGCCCTGTAAGTTTTCGACATTGGATGCTGACCATATGTTTTAGTGGACTCATCTAGCTGAAGGCGCTCGGTCAGGCATCCGCACCAGATCACGTGTGGTAACGGCGTGCTCAACATCTACCGCAATCGCTAGCCAGATTAGATCAGAGAATTCTGATATATTGGTAATCGCTAAATACACTTTTCCGATCTCCTCGACTCTGTCTTTTGATTTCTCTGGGTGGGAACGAAATAAATTAGAAGGTGTTACTGGTAGAAGCGTTGTCAAACACTGAATACC